CAACTCATATATTAGAATTTAAATAACAGACTGAACTACACGCTAGCTTTAACCAGTAAGTGATTTGACAAGAATAAAACAAAAACAAAATAAAGTGTGTGGTTTAATATATTGCATTTCTTGCTTCAGACTGTTTTCACTTTGCCCATTGCCCTGGTGTATCAGTGCCACTGGTCTCCAACCCAGACAGGATTTTGACACCATGTGACCAGCTGATATGATTACCATCCTGGACAAAACATGCAAGAGGCAAGGAATTTTTGGGAGGGAGAGAATTCCTTCCCTGGGATTGCTCACAAACTAGGGTTTCTGAGATCAACGATGAGGGATATCAGAGTAGATGAGGTTAATGCCCTTTATCTGCAAGTCCTCTCTCCACATTTTGGACACTAACCCAAAATTGGGTTACTGCATTCATTACAACAATGAACTCTGAAATGTGCCAAACACATATATGCTATTTTGATTTCAGGAGATACAGAATTAGAGCTGCAGAAAATAGCAATGTTACAATTCTACATGATAAGGTTGAAAATTTGGCAGACTGGAAAGGAACAGGAGTGATGAATTTTATTAGACAATCTGCACTTGCTCGCTGACAAAGCACTAGCTGTAAAGTGCCAAGACTGAAATTAACTTACTTCTCATTGGACTGTAAACATGCTAAGTGCACTGGATTTGCACAAACGTGAAGTATTAAAAATGAAAATCACAAGAAAAGCACATTGTACACAAAAAACATGCTCACCGAGCAATTTGGAAAGGACTCCCAGATTAAGGTAGCAAGCCATGGATGTGGTCACCAATTGTACAGTCATAAGCAAACAGCCAAATTGGTGTTTTGAATATTAAATCCATAAAGTTCACCTCAATGATGCCAAAATGTGCAATCAATTCCTCAATTTACACTCCCACAAAAAGTATATGTAAGGGGGAGGAAACATTGCTGCTTCTGTTTGGCATTGGTTGATAAACTATGCACCAGGTAACAACACAAGGTGCTTAACCCATAGTGCTCTAACACTATGTTTTTGGGAGAGTGATGAGGTACTGGACTCCTGTTGCCCCTCTCCACTCATTTTCTCACCCAGTGTCATTATAGGGTTGATATGTATACACAGGCAACTCAAGACCTGCAAAGAAAAAACCAAACATACAGGTCCCCAGCATTACAACAAGCTCTATTTATGAGTGCAGTTAGTGAGGCAGCTAATGCATGCGTTATCAACTGGTCTCTTTACAAGGTACAGTACCTACCCCTCTTTACCAAACTGCAAAATCTGTATTACTGTCCTATCAGCTTTGCTGCATTCTACCCCTTTGAAATTGTTACCTTCCACATGTACGATAACATGAGGAATAAAAGACCCGTACGTTTTATACTCTCACAGTGAGCATTGTTATCATCTGTTAAAAGCAAACTGTCGATCATCGATCTGTCGAAACAAACACCGAGATCATAGAATGATTATGTTATCTCCTGTGGACCAGTAGCTGCATCTGCTGCTTAAAGTGGGTTTGGTAGAATGTTACCCTGATTAAAACTTCTGTGGTTTATCAGAGATCTATCCAAGAACATCATCACAAAAATAAAACTTGGTTAGTTCCTGATCAGTCAACAAGTCTAATGAAGTGGGGTTCTTTGACCTGGGAGAAGATTTTGACAGCTTGATACATCAGGTGCAGATACAACAGAAAACATGAGGCAATCCTGTAACAGCGTAGGCCGTAAATTCCTGAGGTTCCAACTGATCAGGTTTTAAGAGGTCAGAGAAAGCGGTTCTAGGTGAACGGAGGAAAATAACAAGATGATGGATTGTGGTGACAGGTGGTTTCTATTCCAGCAGAAGCAACCCACAGCTGGACCCCAACCCTCCATTGTAATGAGATATACTTCAGTTAGACAGTTGCTGGAAGACTGACTGAAGACCACTCTTTTAGGTCAGCCAAATCCTGGATAGGTCAAAAGCCACAAGCTGGATGCTGCAGTGTTCAACCAGTGCAGCTGATGGGCACAACCCCAGGTGCAGAAGCAAAAACTCAGCAGGTCTGCCAGCATCTGTAGCAAAAAAGCAGAGTTAATGTTGAGACCAGTAACCCTCCCTCAGGAAGGAACTGGAACCGTTAACTCTGGCTTTTTTTCATTGATGCTGCCAGAGCTGTTGAGTTTCTCCAGTAATTTGTTTTGGTTTCAGACCTTCATCATCCACAATTCTTTTATCCTAGGTACAGAAAGTTTGAAATGACAGCTCACCGTGAAAGCCAGCAATTCCCCACCTGAGATCTAGGTTGTTTGATCCACACAGATGAAGAGCTGTACAGACTATAACAAATCAAGGAGGGAAAACAAAAACAAAGAATGTGTGAAGAGTTTCACCACATATATTCCAGAAATGTTGTTTTACGTAAAATCACTTTTCCATTGAGATAGTGGTTGGTTTTGTGATGTGGTGGACAGCTTCTGTTGTAGACAGCACAATACTGTTATATTAAACATACATCACCGGTCAGTTTGGTGAAACCCTCCAGTTTTTAAGGATTGCACTGCTCCAAGACATGCACATGCACATGTACATGTACATGAACCCACCATGACAGATTAGCTGTGTTACTCTTGTCCTCTTCCCAAGGATATGGAATATGATAGAGCTTAGTTTGATGATCAGTAGCCACTCTTTCAGCCCTTGCCTGGGTGGCCAGTCTCTGCGGGTGAGCTGATGATGTGCTGGCAGGTAATCCATATTGGGTGGGGAGGAGTGGGAGCCACCTTTACCAAGAGTCCAAAACATTTGCTGACAGGATGACAAACAAGAGTAGGAAATTGGACTGTTTATACCTAAGATACAAAGGCCAAGTTGGTCTTTTTGACAATGATAAAGCCAGGTGCCTCTGGGTTTGTGGCTCAGCTACTCACAGGTGAAGCATTGGGATAGCCCCAACCAGTTATGACTTTTGTTGCTTTAAATGGATTTCTTCTCTCCTCTTGCGATTGCACAAAAATAGAGAGAATCTCAGAAGTGTCTCACTGCAGTTACACAAGTACCAGGTGTAATTCTAACCCTCCCCCTGCAAACACACACATATATATTTATATATATATATTATACACACAGAAAATTTACAGAAGTTACACAACAGCAGACTGGGTACTTTCAAATCCAGTCAAGTGTACATGTGTGCAGCATTGAGCACAGCCAAGTACCTCAAAATCCTTGCTGCCTTCAACATCCTCTCCCTTTGGATAGGGACCATTGGCTAAAGACAGATCCTGGGCATATGTTGTACTATGCTGTCACTGCAGTCACAGCAGAAAATAAAATGCTGCAACTTGCAAAGTGAACATCTGGTTGCACAAGCCAGTTCCAGATGCGCACAAGCCTGACTCCATATCTGAAATCTAGCACGGAGCAAGTATAAAATTTTAGCGAGTGAGTATTGCACCATCACTGAAACAGTTTTAGATACTTCAATCATTTTAAGGGAAGCAGCAAAATAACTTGCTGGTTTAAGCGTGCATTAATTCAGTGCTTTGCAGTGTTGAACCCCAGCTCGTTCAGATCAACATCTTCAGCCAAGCGAAATGCACTGACTGCCCAAGACCAAAAATTCATATCAATCTTTCTGGTTATGGCCAACAACTTAACAGCAGCCTGCTGTAGAAACGAATCAGAATGAGCAAACAATTATATAAAACAAGACATGTACAGAATTCTATCACAGCACATGGGGCTGCTTCAATAAGAACAGGTCAATTAATTACAAAACTTCATCTTCTGTTTCGAGTGTGTATCTTGACAAACTATAACCAACTTTGAAAGACAGGGCTGTACAGTTCGAACAATACAATTTCACTCTGGTAAAGTAAGTCAGGCATAAATAAGGGATTTCCTTCTGTGTTTAGGTCTGTTTATATGCACATCGACTCCTCAGTACCACTATATACCCTTGGCATTCGTACAAATTAGAAAGCAATGCTGCAGGAGTCAGAGGCCAGAAGAGAGCAAGAACAGAAGTGAAAATGTACACAGCTCTTGAATAATTTAAGTAAAACAAAAAATAAAAAGGTAATATCACAAAGGTCAGGCCCAGTGTAAATGAAGGGCTGCCTGAATTGGAATGGGGGTTGCGGGGTACACACACGATTGAGCTTTGCAATCTGCCTGTGATGCAGTTTATAAATGCACATTTTTTTTTTCCCTAAAAGCATCAATTATTCAGCAACCTGGAACGAGAGCAGACATTACACAAAGAGGCAAGGGGTCTCCTATCCGCAATATAACAGGCCTGCAGCACAAAGAGCAGGCAAAGCAACCCCCACAATCCCATTTACATGGAAAGAAGGAAGGAGAAATGGTTGGAGCAAGCCAGTCCCCACCACAACCTCCATATAAGTTTTATCTGGATGTTTATAGGCTGTTTATTTTTAAACTGGGGAGGAAAGGGACAATGTGAATGGAAAGGAGAAGAAGGAGGGAAAGGAGATAGAGAAAGGAGGAGGATGAAGCTAGGGAGAGAGAAAAGGAAAGAATAGATGGGGAGGGATGGGTGGAGTGGCTTTTTATGCTGTGCTAAAGTTCTTGACTGTGGAGCACCAGCAGCGTGAGGGGAAGCTTCTCCATTCATGTCAGCTGCACTGTGCTAAATGCCAGCGTTCTGTTGGTTCTGGTACCGCCGTCGCCACACTTCCTGGATCTTCTTGCACCATTTGTGCGCATTTCCACTTGGATCCATTAAGTAATATGTCCGATTTGGCTGTAGGACAAAACATTAAAGTAAGTGACAGTGTAACAGCTCACCTTCACTTCATGTTACAAAAGAACAGTTTACTTGCACGTGGAGCTGGAGGAAGAGACAGAAAGAGAGAACTCAAAATATCCTTAATGCTCATTTATTTTAAAATGGCCTATTTGAACTCCTAGTACTAGGGACTGTAATCTGGATGGTTTATGTAGAAGCACTGGTACCATAATGCACCACAGAATGAAGGCTGATTCAAGTCCATCCCACACGGGACCCTATTGTATTCTGGAGTTACCTGAAGGTGACACGCTGCAAACCAAAACCAGTTTACAATGGCTTTTATATTGCAAAAATGGTCCTGCTACTGGACTGCTGGATTTCATTCCACGAGATGCACGTGGCTATTCTTATAGATCAACCCGGGCCATTTTTTTCTACTGTATTAATGATGATGAATTAACTGCCTAAATCAGGGTTTCCCAAAACTGAGGGTTGTGACCCCACAAGCAACAGAGGTCATGATTTCCTCCTCCTCAGAGACAGTGAAGACTCTGGCAGGACAGCCTTGATGATGTTTCCAAGTCCTGATTATACATGCATGCATGGTTTTGTTTTTCTTACCATGATTTGGAAGGCAGAGACTAGGGAATTGAATGCCTCAGCACTGCCGTCATTTTATCTGCAAAAAAAGTATGGAAAAGCACCACCCCCACCTCCTTACAACTCTATCATCGCTACCTCCTTACCCCATTAACTCTCCACACTTCTCAAATCTCACCCACCCCCTAATCCTGCTTTCGACATTATTCATCCTCAAAATTTTTCAGTATCATAATTGGCCCTGACTGTTTTTCTAGTGAATAACACTGCATTTGATGGATATTGAGCAAAGACATCCTAGCCTAATTTAGAACAGCTAACGGTTGAGTTACAATGCAAAGTTATTTTGTTAGATACACAGTCTGATGCATAAAACAAACTGCACTATTAACAGACTTACAGTATGAACAAAAAAGGTTTTGAAGTTCTTGGCTTCTGGACGCAGCTCCTGTGACCAGGGAATTTCCCCTTTCAGAACTTTGTTGACAGGATCTACATAATAGAGGTGGGGGCCCTCAGTGAGAAGTAATTGTCGGCGTCGTGCAAATAGACCCTGCACAATCAAAATAATTACCAATTATAGCAACAATCAATACAAAGCTAGCCTGGAACTGGAGATCAACATAGCCACACCAGGACCACTGTAGAAAACAATGGGCACAAAAACCTGAAACATTCCTGGTCGGTGTCACATTTACTGTCAGAGGTTTTACAGCTTTCAGCTCATCGTGTCCGTGCCTGTCATCAAGTACCTGTCTATCCTAATTCCATTTTCAGCACTTGGCCTTAGCCTTCTATTCCATGGTCTTTCAAGTGTACATCTAAACATGCCTTAAATGTCTTGACGACTCCTGCTCTGACACTTTTAAGCAGTGAGTTCCAGACAAACCACCCTCTGGGAGAAAACAATTCCTTGAATCCCTCTTTTTCCATGGGTTATGCAATGTCTTCCCTCGGTAAAGATGAAGTACTCACTTAGTACTTCAGCCATGCCCTCGTCGCTGTTTAGATCCCCAATCTACCCAGCCCCTCCATTTAATAATCCTTTTCCAATTATATGCAATACTAGACTTATGGGTTTGATTATTGCTGAAGATAGACATGGATTCTCTTGAAGCTTTTTGGTTTCTCAGCTGAGGACACATGTGAGAACGGCAAATTTCAAAAGGAGCAGCAACTTCGTCTGCATAAGAAACAGGTATTGGCTAGCTGGCAAGTTGACCTCAGCCAGTTGAGGCACCAAACAGAGAATGCAGCAGGGAACTAATGTCTGCCACACTTTTGTTTAATTTAAGAAGAGACAATGCTTCGACATGTTCCTTTTTTTTCTGCAGGCAGCTTGGCTGTGCACATTAATATACTTAGCTTCCAGTGACTAAGTGAGTTATGTTTCATCTGATTGATAATCTTAAAATTGATCACTTCTGTAAATTCTTAACATACTTAGGATTGTTCAAGTGTTGTCCAATCATGGAAACACATCCAACATTAAACATTATTTTCAGGGTTTTGCTAGCACAGGTGGTTGAATGAACAGCTGAAGAGATATGCTACTTGGTATGTTCCACCAATTATTGTGATGTGTAATTTACATACCTCCACATGACAACGAAATTCATTTACACTACTTGGTTACGGTAGATAGAACATCCTTTTGTCCTATCAATAGCATCCGATCAGTGCAAAATGTCACTTGTGTTGCAACTGCCACTGCATCTTTGGATTACCTTTTATGTTAGCTATTAATCTCTTCACATATCCTCTCTTTGCTTCTTATTTCTTTTTTTCACTTATCTTCTGAACCTTATATGTTGAGCCTGGCTCTCATTTGCATTATCAATCTGACATTTACCAAATGCAACCATTTTTTAAATTCATTCACAGGATGTGGGCTTCACTGGCCAGGCCAGCATTCATTCCCCAGAGGGCAGTTGAGAGTCAACCACATTGCTGTGGATCTGGAGTCACATATAGGCCAGACCAAGTAAAGATGGCAGCTTCCTTCCCTAAAGGACAGTAGTCAGCCAGATGGGTTTTTCCTGACAAATTGACAATGGTTTCATGGTCATCATTAGACAGATTTTTATTGAATTCAAATTCCATCTGCCATGGCAGGATTCCAACCCAAATTGGGTGTCCAGATTACTAGTCTAGCAATAATACCATTAGACCATCGGCTCCATTATTCTGCTTCAACTTACTCACTCTTTGTCACAATGCAACTCTGAATTTATTTGTTTTACTTTCTCCCTCATGGGTATATTCCTAACTGACTCAGAAGACAGTTCTTTAAAAACAAGCCATTGTTTAATTACATCTTTTTAGAATGCAAATTTTTGTTTCCAATTTATCTGGGTCAAATTTCTTCTCATCCCATTTAAGTTTGCATTCCCCCAATTAGTAATTCTTGTTTGGGATTTCTCCTCATCCTTCTTCATAGCCAACTGAAAATTTGTGATAAATAATGTTCCCCTTTCACACTTGGTCCACTTGCCCCACCTCATTACCAAGAATCAGATCTAGCAATTCCTCTTTTCCTGTTGAAATGGAAATGTACTGATGTTCAAAATTGTCCAAGGGACTGTTAGTTCACTCTGCTCTTTGTACAATACCCGCTATTCACAGATCTGAAAACAAGCCCGATTTCAGGTTTTGGCCAGAAGAATGTGCTGAATACGCCAAGCAAAAATAATTCCTTACAATTTTGATCAACTGACTTACAACGAGTGAGAGCGCTTTTCGGAATACTTCTCAAATCAGTCCAAACACGTTTTCCTAGTTATTCATGCTCTTTTTAGCAAATCAATGAAGTAGAAACATTCTTATCCCCTTGAAACATAATGGATATTAACCCTTTTGGCATGATTGCAATTGCAAAAACATGGGAAATCACAATAAACAAAGTGCCTGAATAATGCAGATACACCAACAGTACTACAGTGCACGGGTGGTGATTTGGTAGTTCAGGTCAATTCAGAGCCTGGTAACTAGATTGGTGTGCCACTGTACACAATGCAAAGCACATAGCTAATGTTTCTCAGTGCTAGTCAAACAGATTCTGTCAATGATCTCACAGGTATTTCCTCAGTCTGTAGCAGTTTGCCTTCACCTATACATTACCAATCAGACTGTAGTGTTTCAAGGAGTCAATTCACCAGCACATTCTCAAAGCAAAAAATAGGATGTGTAACGAATGCCAGACGTCCTGTGACATTCAAATCCCATGAAAGAATATAACATAAATGATGCTTTCTTTCCTTCTTTATCATTGCTGAATGACTTTGTATCCAGCATTATTTAGTACCTAGTCCTGCCCCTTTTTGAGTCAGGTCTCTATTTTAGCAACATCACGTTTTCCTTCCCAACTCCATCTGTAGCTTCAACTATTTACCACACCCCACACATTCATACACATTCACAGCAACTCTAATTTACACTGCATTACATTCCCTCTCACTCTGACCCCACCTAATATTTCTACTCTGACCATAACAAGATAAAGAATAACTATCTGGAACCAGGGAGAAGAGCCACCCAGCAGCTGGCCAGATCACAGTTTTGCCTCCCAAGCAGTATAGCATTAAACAATGAAAAATAAGCTTACCTTCCTCTTGTCAACTGGGCCCATCTTTAGGATCAAATTGTTTTCTACAAACTGATGCCTGAAAGAGCAAGGCATTACTGGCAACATGCAGATTTATGGAAGAAATACAAAACAGGTAGGTAGTTAACAATATTGTATCAGGGGTATTCCAAAGCTGTGCTGAGGAGTGGAAAGAGACACTCGCCCAGCACACCAGCCAATGCCTAACACCCCTTATAAATATCAATATATCTTTAAATACTGAAACTTCCTTTGGTTTGCAATCCCAACTTCAGAAAAATCACGTGTCAAATACCCAGATAAGAACAGTTTTAACACTGCGAAGGAGCATTTTATAATACAGGAGGTTAATGATATTGGAGTGGGACAAGGGACTGTTGAGCTCATGAATGTGATAATTTTTATATTAGGAATTTAATAGCCATAATGCCAAACCACAATGAATCTGACGTTTTATGACACTGGTGGCAGCAACGTGTACCATATAAATAGGGGAGTTTTCAGATAGGTTGAGTGAGTGAGCAAAAATCTGGCATATAATGTGGGAGGAATGTGAAGTTATTACTGAAAGAGAGAATGACTGTGGAAATCTGAGGTGCAATGCGATTTGGGTACTCTAGTCACAAAAGTATAGTAGACAGTACAGTACATAAACGAGTAGTGTAATGGGAAGCTATCCTTTATTATGAGAGGAATTGAACGTAAAAGGAAGGAAGTTATGCCTCAGTTATACAGGGCATCACTGAAACATCTCAAATAGTGTGTGGTTTAGTCTCCTTAAGGAAAAATGTGTGTGCTTGAGGAATTCAGAGGAGGTCTACTAGATTGCAACCTTGAATGTTTCCTCTGTGTGCGAGTCCAGAGCTAGGGATTAACCTTTCAGGATAGAGATGAGAATTGTTTTTCCCCCTTAGAGGGTTGTTAGAATGTAGTGCAAGTGGGATCATTGAATATTCTTAAAACAGAGATGGATATATTCTTGTTAGGCAGAGGAATCAAAAAGTGTGTGGTAGATGGGAGTGTGGAATTTGAAACAGTGAGAGATCAGCCATGACACTGCTGAATGGCAGAGCAGGCCCAAAGGGCTGAATGGCAAGTTTATTTTTATGGGCATGGGCATCGTCAATAAGGCCAGCATGGTGCCCATCCGCAACTGCCCTCAGAAGGCGTTTCAAACTGTTTTCTTAAAATTTCTGAAATCCATGTAGTGGAGATGCACAATGCTGTTATTGGGGGCTTTCGTGTTTTTGGCCCAAAAGCAGTAAAGGAATAGCAATGTAGTTCCAAGTTAGGATGATATGTGGTTTGGACAGGATTTTGGTGTTGGTGTTCCCATGTATCTGCTGTTCTTCTTTTAGGAGGTACAGGTTGCAGTTTTGGAAGTGGTGTTGAAGGAAGCTTGGCAGATTGCAGCTGTGCAGCTTTATATAGTGCACATTGCTGCCATTGTGTGCCAGCAATGATGGAATTAATGTTTAAGGTGCAGTATAGTGTGCCAAGCAGGTGTTTAGTCCTGAATGCTGTGGAGATTCTCAAGTTTGCGATTTGCATTCATCCATGCAAATTACATCACACTCCTGACTTATGCCTTTCAGATGGTGGATAGGGCTTTCAGGCATCAGAGGTGGGTTACTCACCACAGAATTAGCATCCTCTGACCTGCTCCTGTAGCCACTACATTTATACGGTTAGTCCAATCACGTTTCAGGTCAATAGTAAGCCCCAGGATTAGGAGAGTTGGCGGTGTTCAACGATGGTAATATTTTAGAGCGTTATTCACTAATTGGATATGGTTATTACCTGGTACAATATTGCTTGCCACACATTAGTCCAACTCTGAATGTGGTCTAGTCTATCTATGGATATTGAGTTTTTCACTTTCACAGGAGTCACAAATAGTATGCCCGCTGTACTGACATCAGCAAACATCTCCACTTATGGCCTTAAGATGAAAGGAAGCTAAATGAAGCAGCTGAAGATGGCGGGTCAAGGACATTACTGCACAAGTTCCTAGGTTCTTGTGGCAGTGGTAGTACCCTTACCTCTGGGCCACAAGGCCTGGGTTCAATTCCAATCAGATCCAGAGATGTGCTAAATAACATCCCTGAACAGGTTGATTAGAAAATACTTACTGCACAAGTTCCTCACTATTCATGGAAATGATTGCCGCCAGCAGCTAGTTCTAAAGCACAAATGTTCAGCATTATGGCCAGGATGTTGTCTAGGATCATAGCATTCACTTTATTCACAGTCTACAAAAGATTCTTAATGTAATGTGGAATGGAGTTGGCTGAAATCTGGCATCTGAGACACTGGGAATAATGGGAGGCTAAAATGGTAGATCATTCACTCAGTGCTTTTGGCTGAAGACATTTGATGATACTTCAGCCTTATTGTCTTTTGCACTGATGTCTTGGGCTCTATCAATGAAAATGGGATATTTGTGGAGCTTTCTTCTATGGGTGTTGACATGGACATCAGGAAACTCTACATTCCTCAGCCAGGGATTCAAAGCAGTGTACCAGCTGGAGTTAGAGAAGTGTGGGTTATAGGCACTCTATTTTGGGAGATGACCAAGCATAAAGGGATATGGTGAACACATGGAATAAATACATTGATGCAGATTACCAGGGATTTCTGTTGGCTTGTTTCTCAAGCAGCAGCCGCTTATCCTCATCTGTAAACTGAAGATCCAGCTCAAATGAATTGTCGTTGAGGTCATGAATGTACTGCTCGATGTTGCTGCCTGACCTCTGGGGAGGGCTAGGCTCAGGTGTAGACAGTGAATGTGACGAGCTGGAGGGAGCAACCTGCATGCAACCAAACTGGCTGAGAAGGTCATCATACTGCAGCCAGTCACCAAGGGGTAGAGAAAAGAAAGAACAGAATCAGCTTAATAACATGCATTTTTAAGAGTACTCTAATATCAAAGTGTTTAGCAGAGAGATAAAACACAAAGGAGGAAGCATTTGGGAAGGTATGGGAGGCAAAATGTGAAAAATAAATAAAAAGGAAGGGAAATAAGAATTTAAATGAGAAAATACAGAAGAATAGGGTTAGAGAAGAAAGCTATGGTAAGGGATCCAATGCTGGTGCACGTTCAAGAGACTGAAGGAAGTAGCCTGCTATGATGAAAGTTCCATTAAATAGCAATAACCATTTAACACCACAAATATTTGATAGGAGACTTGGGAAGATGGGGATGTCACAAGGCAAACTGTTGTGTGAGAGAATTTTAGAAAGGGCATGGATATAACAGTTAAAAACTCAGCCTCATTTACTGGAGAGAATATCACATACCAAATAAACAGAGGGGCTACGCTCAAGTTCTGATTGAAAGAGATGTCTTAGTCTAATTTCATATCCATGCCCATTACACACAGACAAGATGATCAGTGCATTACAGTCTCGCGTGGTGTTGCCCACATTTCAGATGTGAATTGCAACAGCAAATGAAAAGTCAGTCAATGTGAACAGTAAGATTCATTTGAAGTATATCAAAAGCAAGGTGGCTGCTAAAATACAAAATGATATACGGTATAAAGAAAATAAAAGCAGTTTGGAGCAGGCATCTGAGTACTTACATTGCCATAGCATTCTTCATCATCCTCAGACATTGCCGGGAGATACGCGGTGAGTTTTGGGGGTATTTGAAGGTGCAGATTCTCCCAAGCAACTGGCTCGAAGAACGGATGGGCCTTGAGGAGTCCATAACCTCCCATCTCTTCACAGCCTAAGCGCTTGGTATGTTCGAACACCTAAGATGTTGGGGTAGGCAAAGCATTCTTAGTATTAGAGGCAAATACCCAAACTGTTCCAAGCACTGGAGTCCATTCTGCTACACTTTTCACCCACTAATTCGGTTGGTGCTGTAATCAAGTCCTTTCATTTTTTCCAATAGTGTGAATTCACTAACCATATCCTACAAACAACATGAGCACTCCGGTGGTGGCAATGACAGCAACATGTAAGCTAAGACACCATAAGAACTCCCTAGGAAACTTTTACCATCAACTGGAAAGGCCATCTGAAAAACAGCCTACTACAGTATACACTGAAATGTGCATATCCTGGACTGAGACTTGAACTCAAGACAGTCTATTTCAGGCAACTGTACTATTGAAAAAACCATGAAGCAATAGCCCAACTCAATCTACAGCTCAAAGTTTCAAAACAACAATCATTACAAGTAAGTTTTTGGCCAGCAGAACTTGAATTCACACAGATGTTGCTGGCACTGAGCTAACATCATTTTGCCATACTATACTAAAGTACGAGCAAAAATAAACGGATAAGACATAAGTAATCAGGTTTACGGTCATCCATACACAGAATAAAGCTAAATAATGCTGACAACCTTTTGCAATATAATCAACAGTAGAAACGAGGGAACTGTATGCACAGATTCAAAATTATAACATTGGGCCTCAAAAGGACAAAAAGCAGAGGGTTATTTTAGAAGCGCAGAAAGAGGCCATTCAACCCATTGTGTTCCCACCAGATGAAGGAACTTGCTGCCCATTTCCACCACACGGTCTGAGCTTTGCAGCTTCAAATGCAGATCCAGGCTCCTTTTAAAATGAATTGAGGATTACCACCTCAACCACCAACTGGGCAGTGAATTCCAGATACCCACCACTTGGTGAAAAAGTTGTTCATGTCTCGTTTAATCCTTCTACCAATCACCTAAAATCTGTGCACTCTGGTAACTGACCTTTCTATTAAGGGGAATAACAGGTCTTCCCTATTCATGCTGTTCAAGCCTCTCAATTACTTTGCACATTTCAGCTAAGGAACCCATCCACCTGCTTTGTTCCAAGGGAAAGAAATCCTAGCCTATCCAGCTGACCACTATCCTTTGTCCCAGTGACAGGAAACAATATTAGATCCAAACTGCCACATTCCCAGTATCCCATAGGCTTTTACTTTGCTGATCATTCTACCACAGGAGACACTTGGCCAATCTCTCACACCCTTTTTGAATAATGGAACAATGTTCTCAGACCTCCAATCCTATGGTACCTCACTTGTATTGAGTAAGCATTAGTAAATGATCCTCAAATCTCTGCTATTTCCTCCCTGACTTCTTTTAGCAGTCTAGGACCTCTGGTGATTTATCCACCTTCAAGGTCAGTTCTGCCCAGTACTTCCCTTCTCATTATGCATATTCTATCTAGTATTGCATACTCTTCCTCTAACTAGAAGGCCTGCATTATCCTTTTTCTTAGTGGAAATAAGGTAATCATTCATTTAGAACCCTGCCCACAACTTATGTATCCACACGTTACCATGTTCACCTCCAATAGGCCCATACCTTTTCCATCAACTTGCTCTAATATACTGATAAAACATCTTTGGATTGTCCTTAATTTAATTTAAATTTAATCAGCCATTTTTGGGATCTCTTTTTCATCTCCTAATTTCCTCTTTTTTTAAAACTTGTTTTTACTTTATACTCTCTATACTCAAAGATTCCTAAACTATTACTTTTTGCGAGATTATCATAAGCTCTATTTTATCATACCCAAATGCTTCTGAATAACCAGGGGCTCTAGATTTTGCAGTATTCTTTTCTTTGAGGGGACATGCGTACACTATGTAGAATTTTGCTTTTTAACACCTCCCACTGATTTCCATGGATTTTCTTTCAAACAGCTGCACCCAGTCTATTTTTGCCAAATCATCTCTCAGCTTTATTAAATTTGCCTTAGAACTTTTACATAAGTTCTCTGTCCCTTTCCATAATGTTGCTAAAACTAACTAGATTATGATCATTTTCTCCAAAATGGTCACCTGCTTAGCTTCATTCCTAAGATAATCTAAAATTGCATACTTCTTTGTTGGCCTTGATGCATGTTGTCTGAAGTTCACTTGAATTCAAGAAATTTACACCATTTTTGTTTTTCACACTGCTGGAATTCCAACTATTCTTTTCCTATTGTTTCTGCACTCAAATTTATCTACGTATTTGTTCCTCTAACTGTCTCACTGTTTGGGGTCTATTGTATAGACTTGGCAGTACAGCTGCCCCTTTTGTTTCGAAGCTCAACCCATGTGCCTCATTTGATGCTTAATTTAGTATATCATCCCTCCTGATAGCTGCAAATGATTCTTTAGCCAATGATGCTGTGTCCTACTTTTTAAAATTTTCCTTTGCTATCTTGCCTGATAATTCTATATTCGTGCATAATGAACTGCGATCTTTGCATCTCAAAGTCAAATTTCATTATAACAAAGGCATATGGCAGAAGTCAATCTTTGCTCTGAGCTCATCGGCTTTACGTGCTATATTCACTGTTTACATATATACTTTTTAATACTACCAAATTCCCGTGCTGAACAAGTTTTAAACCTCTACACTTCCTCTGTCTTTTGGATCACTAACTAAATTTCTGCCTCCTGTTCACTGCACTGAATTTATGCTCAAATTCCCATTACCCTTTTCGAGGAATTTGTTAGTGTTGTTGCAGAAAGTTTAAATTACATTGGCAGGGTTTTTATCCCACTCCTGTTCAGATGGAGACTGCCCAGTTTGTACAGGTGCCCAACTTCTTTACAAATCTGATGCTCGTACTCCTACACCAGCTTTCCAGTCATTCTTTTACTTGTTCAGTTTTCATATTCCTATGTTTGATACACATAGGACTGGGAATAACCCTGAGACTATTACTTTAGAGATCCTGCCACTGAATTCCTGATATAATTCTCTGAAATCTGTTTGAGGGTCTCATTGCCATTCCTACTCATCATCTTCATTTTTTTTTGGAATGTCTGACTGTCGCCCATTCCCTCTCTGACTGCATGCTTCTGAACAGTGACAGTTCCATAAACGTGTTACCCACTTAGTCCTCTGCCTCATGGATGCACAACAGCAACTCCTGCTACCACTCAAGTTCCAAAACCCAGAGTGCTCAAGCTTGTGCAGCCAGTGATACTTCCAGTAAATGGGTTCATCTTTCTCATGACTGCCATAGAAGCAAAAGCACCTTGGTTTGAGAATGGATTCCTTTAAACAATAATCTCAAATCTTAAAGTGTTATTTGGGAATTTCAACGCCCCCCCCACCAATCATATCATTACATTGATATATTCATTGCACAAGTTTTGATTATATAGATTCTTAACTATTCAACTGCTGGGAGAGAACATCATATTTGTTAAAAACACTCATGGGGAGACCCTGCAGGTTAAGGGGGTTATGACACCATTTTGATCAGGGAAAGCTGAATTTCACATCATATCTTGCAACTGTATTTTTAATATTATTGAATTGTGATTGGTTATTCAAATGAGAGGTTAGGAGTACACATGGTTGGAGTTGGTCAGGATTTGGTTTGCTGCACTGGTTGGGTAAAAGGGACATTAAATCACTTACCAAAAGTTGCTGCACCAAATCTTTTGCTTTTGGAAAAAACTTTTCTGGGAATTCATATTCTAACTTAATGATTTTCTGGAATATGAGATATTCATTGCTATGGAGAGGAGAAATAATACCAGAGATTAACAATTGTATCAAGCTGATATCTAGACACCTAAAAATTTCACAAGGCTTACCAAATTTATCAAATTATAAAGTTCAAGGGACTTACTGCCACTGAATAAGAACATGTAGTAAGCAGCAGATTCAAAAAAAAAGTAAAAATTGCTACCTGAAAACATTTATATATTAAAAAAATCTAAATTCTGTTATCAATGTATAAATTTGGTCAACAAAAACAGAGTGCCCTGGAAAAACACAGGCCTGGCAGCATCTGCTGAGAAAAAAGTCAATGTTGAGTTCAGTGACCCTTGTCAAACATTGACTCTGCTTTTCTCTCAGCAGATGCTACCAGACCTCTGTTTCAGATCTCCAGTATCCGCAGCTGTTTATTTTACAAATTTGGTGCCTTGTTTTAAATTTAAGCCCGTTCCAATCAATCAATCAATCAAGTTAAAATTTTGTGACAAGGCAGCTCACAGGTAGCCAACTATGTTTCATTATAGTACCATGCAAATGTTATTTTGTGTGCATCAAGTTGCAACCACAAATGCTTTGTGCCATTACCAAGTGACAGAGGATGGTGGGGATATATAAAAAAAAAAGACAGCCAGTTACTGATGCCATTCCATGTAACACATTAGTTGTGCCACATCTATATTCATCAGCAATGGCACATCTTAGTGAGATGAGGAAGGAGGAAGAACTTCAATCCATAAGGGAAAAATCTGTTTTCCAAAAAGTATATTACAGCACCCAGAAGTCTCACTCTTAGCAGTTTTATTCAGAATGCCTTCAGACAAGTTAACGGGAATTAATTTAAAAAAAAAATCAAACTTGAATAGTGTTAAGAAGTTTGAACACAATAGATCAAATTGCCAGCATAGAAATGAAATATTGTAGAATCTAGTTCTCTATTACTTTTTGCCATTCATCTCATAAATTCGAGCACTTACCCAGCCCTAAATGGTGGCAATCCAGCTACCAGCTGGTATATAATACAGCCAAGAGCCCAGAGGTCAGAACTGTAGGGGGTTAGAAAAATAAATATCAATCCAGTAACAGTCTTTTTACCTAGCGGATTGTACTTCAACAAAGATGTAACAGTTGAAGAATGCTAGTCTGTGAATAAATTGAATGATTTGCAATCAAGCTCAAGTCTGTGCAGCAGATCATGTTTGTAGTTCCATTCAAATAAAGTTTTTTCTTTAAAAAAAGTTTGTTCACAAGATGTGGACATCGCTGGCTAGACCAGTATTTATTGCCCATCCCTAAATGCCCAGACCAGATAAGAATGGCAGTTTCCTTCCCTAAAGGACATTAGTAAATCCAGGTGGGTTTTTCTGACAATTGACACAATGGTTTTGTGTTCATCAGTAGACCCTTAATTCCAGATTCTTTATTAAATTCAAATTCCAGCATCCAGCATTTGACCCTATGTCACTAGAACGTGAGCTGAGTTTCTGGATTAATAGTTTAGCAATAATACCACTAGGCCATTGCATCCGCCCTTTTGATCCCAGCAGCATTAGTATAAATCCATTGTTCTCTCTCAGCAAGGGAGTAGAGTGGGGAATGTCCAGTCTCAAAACACCTGGCAGATTGATGCCCAGTGATAAAGGCACACATTCAAGGAGTTCACTGTCAGAAGGGAGGAACACAAATGCTTCTAACAGCAACAAAGTGTTTAACCAATCTCTCCTATTGTTGTTTTAGGTCTGATTGATGTTTCCAAAGCCGAGATGCGTAGTTGAAGGTCACATTATGAATAATACACCATTAGGGTGCAATACCAAAGGGTCATCATGGCATCATCACCATATCCCCAGTGATGGAAGGGAAATTATTGCAAAATACAAAGCTTATAGAAAAGAATCAGTGACAACATAGATCTACAACATTACCTTTTACAAGCTGATTTCTCTGTCAGAAGCTCTGGTGAAACATACTGTGCTGTTCCAACAAAAGAATTTGCTCGTGCTGCAATACCAAAACAAGACGAGGTGAATTGTGCTTACATGCAGAGCAAACAGTGCACTTGCTCACTGCATCCAGTACTCTTACCCCAGTGTTTTAAATTCAAACTGACAGCAAATAAAATTAGACTGGCTTAAACAGAAGTAGGAGCATAAATATTACAAAGGCAGTTCCCATTGTCAAAGTACCGTAAGAGATTTGTACTCAAAGCACCTCATCAATTCTCATAGGAACAGATGAACTTCAGAAATGCAGTAGCTTATGGTGGTAAGCACAGCACTGAAACTATGCTGTAGCTCAGTGCAGAGTGCCTGATGCTAACACTGGGTACTTATGCCCCACGATTTGTTTGGTCATTCATTTTTTTTGCATTTGAATTTTCCACCCAAAAGGTTGATGAACAGGAAAGGGTTAATTCTGCACCTTGTGTACTCTCTGAAGATAATACTTTTGCTGTTCCAAAATCGGTAATCCGTATGTGCATGTCCTCGCTCAGCAAGATATTCTCTGGTTTAAGGTCCCTGTAATAATTTAAAAACAGGTTAAAGCACAAATAACCAATAGAATATTTATAGCAGAGGTGGTTGTCATTTGGTCCATCAGCTCTCCGAAACAACAATTTATCTATTGCTGCTTCTCATCTTCTTTCCCGTAGGCTTGCACATTTTTTCCTTTCCAGAAAATAATCTAATTTCCTCTTGAATGACTTGACTTAAACTGCTTCTACCACCCTCTCAGGTAGAGATTTCAAGATCCTATTCACTCATTGAAAAATTTCTCTTGCAATGTTGCCATAGCTTCTTTTGTCAATGTAATGGAGGCAGTGGCACAGTGGCAATGTCACTGGCTAGTAATCGAGAGGCCCAGGGTTCAAATCACATGTTGTAATTTAAATTGAATTAATAAATAATCTGGAATTAAAATCTAATCAATTATTTGAAATAAATGTTGATTGTGATAAAAAATGAATTGGTTCACTGATGTCATTTAGGAAAGGAAATCTACCATCCTGGTTCACCTAGGTGTGACTGCAGATGACTCAAATGCCACCTGAAATGGCAAGCCACTCAGTTTTACCAACCACTAAAGTCTAAAAAAGATCAAAAAACTGGACAGACCACATCAAAGTGAGAATGGCACGCCCAGTCCAGTCAACTCTGCAAAGCCCTTCTCACTAACATCTGGACTCTTACATTAAATTTGGGAGAGCTATCCCACAGCCTAGTTTAGCTACAGGCTGATGTCGTTATACCCAAAAATCACACCTTACAGATAATGCCTCAGGCATCACCATCACTGGGTTTGCTCCATCAGCAGGAGAGGCCCACCAGAGGTAGCAGTACAGTGCTATGTGGTCAGAGAGGGAGTCCTCAACATTGACACCCCATAAAAATCGCATGGCATCAGATCAAACATGGCCAAGGAATCCACCTACTGATTACTATCTACTTCACCCTCTTCAGTTGATGAGTCTGTATCCCTTAATACTGAACACCAACTGGATGTATTGAGAATGGCAAGGGCATAAAAAGGATTCTGGGTGGGGTCTTCCAACAGCAGTTCAGTAGAACCACCATCAACAGATCTGAAATCAACACAATGGAAGCTCATCAGAATATGAATGATGGGGTCCAAAAGGTGAAACTGCATTTTAGCTGGGCTGCATATATATGTGTAAATGAGAAAACGCAGATTTAAATAAAGATTTCCAAGTATCTGTTGGACTGGGTTTGCAGTAGGTGGTAAGGGAAGTAGCAAGAGGGGAAAACCTACTTGATCTCGACCCCACCAACCTACCAGCTGCACATAAATCTGGCTGTAATTGTACTCATTGGTGCAGCAAGCACACGTATTCATGGAAAGAAAGTTTTGTTTTCACATTGAGTATACCTTCTCGTGTGCTGTGCGGCTCTACCACTGTACTAAATGGGACAGATTTTGAACAGATCTAACAGCTCAAAATTCAACATTCATGAAACATTGCGGGTCTTTTGCATTATTGTATTCAACCAATACTGTAACCCGATATATCCCACACACTACCATTTCCATCAAGCCAGGGATTAAACCTGGTTTAAAGAAGAGTGTAGAAGATAATGCCAAGTTCAGGACCAGGTATACGTAGTCAAGCTTTGGTGAAGCTGCAACAGAGAACTCAAATCGCCAAATACTTGAAGTGGCAAGTGATAGAGCTAATTGATCCCACAACTCAGTTTAAAACTGGGCAAAGGTACAAGATGTGATCCTTGTCTCAACCAAAACTTACTTTCACAAAATATCCTTCTCTTTCTGGTCTCCCCAATCGGAAAATTAACCCTTGAGGTGATGGGTTTCGTTCCTTCTGGAGATCTACAATTGAAATACTATTACCTTTGGGTAATAGCCTTTCCCAACTTTCCTTTTTAATCCTAAATATTAATCATTACATTCAAGATTTAACTGGAAAATGAACAAGCCAGGAACCAAAGAACAAAGTTAAAAGGCTTGATTCAGGGCATTCTCACCTCCCCCATTCCACAGATAAATTGAAGATGGATGCCTCTCCATCCCCTTGAAAGGAGGCAAGTTCTATTTCCCCCCATCAAGGTAGCCCTACTCTGCACAAAACTACCTCAACTGTGCAACATCGCTCTTTCCTTCAAAACACAAATACCACTCTTCAACTGTATTAGCTCTCAGCAACCAACCCAATTCCCATCCTGCAATCTGCCTCTTTGCCCTTTTAAGAGCTGCCAAAAACCACTTTGACTCAAGGATACTTCTGTTCCAACCTTGCCTGTACTTAGTTTTATTGCTGCTAATATAGCACAGAACTGCATGAACAACAGAATTTTGAGGTCTGAATGGTTCAATTGAAACATTTATTCCTGTAAGCAACAGTGTACAAATGAGCTATAATACATCAGGATACAGCAGTCAATATTATATATTGCTACATAATATTACTGCCCCTACAGTATATCTTCATGACTGAAGTAAGTACGTTTCCAATCAGGAGCAGGAATGCCATGGCTCACTTTTGATCCATGACACTCATGAGCAGATATGTCACTGGCATTAATTTCCTATTTCCCTTTGTAAGGCTCAACACATTATGAGGATTGACCACAAACACTGCAGGTGGAATAATAGAAGTTTTCAGTCTTAGAGTGCGAGTTTTCAACATGCAGAAGTAGAGATCAGGCAAAAGGCTACAGAAGGCTACTGCTTTTGAACAATTTTCTGGTGTGTCCCACACTTAACATTAAATGGTGAGCTACAAAATAGTGGCAAACTGATCAAGAGGCAGCCTATTTTTCAAGTGTTCAATATGGGGCCAGCACTGGTTACGAAGCCTTTTCACCAAGTTCAGCACTTAACCACTGAGTAGTTAGACTATCACAGCATTGAAGAACATGAAAAATGATCAGAAACTATTAGAAACATACAGATCAGTCAGCATCTGCGGAAAGAGAAATAGAGTTAAAGTTTCAGGTTGATGGCCTTTAATTAGACTAGAAAAGCTAGCGAGTTAACAGATTTTAAACAAATGCAGATACAGGAAAAGCAGTTTCAGAGATAGTAGGACTGCAGATGCTGGAGAATCTGAGATAACCCTTCTGAAGAAGGGTCTAGGCCCGAAACGTCAGCTTTCCTGCTCCTCTGACGCTGCTTAGCCTGTTGTGTTCATCCAGCTCTACACCTTATCACAGGAAAAGCAGTTTTTTGTGGGAGGAGGAGTGAGAGCGCGTGCAAGACAGAGAAAAATGAGAAAGGAACGAAAGTGAACATCTGTGATAGTACAAAAGAGACATTAATGACAAAGTGGATGATGATACAAGACAAGAGCAAGTTGCAATGGGAAAAGATATAAAGAAGGCTATATAGATGTAAATGGCAACAGCAGAATTATTACCAGCACCTGCTTTCTCTCCTGCGCACTGAGAAAAGGGATTTAGCATTACCAAGCATTCAGTTATCTATCATTTTAATTCGCTACCTACCACCAACATCCTCAAACTCCTACAATGTTTCAATGAAGCTCAATAGAAGTTTGAGGAACAGCATTTAATAGCGTCATACAGCACAGAAACAGACCCGTTGGTCCAACCAGTTCATGTTGAACATAATCCCGAACTAAACTAGTCCCACCTGCCTGCTCCTGGCCCATTTCCCTCCAAACCTTTCCGATTCATGCATCTATCCAAATATCTTTTAAACATTGTAATTGTACCCGCATCCACCACTTCCTCAGGACGCTCATTCCACATGCGAACACCCTCTGTGTAAAACATTTGCCTCTTGTTCTTTTTAAAAAATCCCTCTCCTCTCACCTTAAAAATATGCCTCCTAGTCTTGAAATTCCTCATCCTAGGGATAACTACCATTAACTCTATCTATACCTTTCATTATTTTATAAACTTCTGTCAAGTTGCCTCTCAATCTCCTACCCTCCAGTGAAAAAAAGTCCCAGCCTATCCAGCCTTTCTTTATAACTCAAATCTTCCATACCCAGCAACATCCTGGTAAATCTCTGCTGAACCCTCTCCAGCTTGATAATATCCTTGCTATAACTTGGCGACCAGAACGGAACACTGTATTCCAGAAGAGGCCTCACTAATGTCCTGCACAACCTCAACATGACTTCCCAACGCCTATATTCAAAAGGCCTGAGCAATAGAGGCAAGTGTGCCAAAAGCCTTTTTAACCACCCTGTCTATATGTGATGCAAATTGCAAAGAATTATGCACTCGCACGCCTAGGTCCCTCTGTTCTACAACACTACCCAAGGCCCTATCATTAATTGTATAAGCCCTACCCTTGTTTGTTGTACCAAAATGCAATATCTCACATTTATCCAGACTGAACTTCATCTGCCATTTTTCAGCCCATTGACCCATTTGATCAAGATTCCTTTGTAATCTTAGAAAACCTTCTTCACTGGCACTTCGCAGTCTTCCAGGCTCAACACTGAGTTCAACAATTTCAGATTCTAACCACTGCATTTTCATGCAGCAGCTGCTCCTTCTGTTATCCACAATCCTTCTGGAAAAATTTTTGAATCTTAATGTGTTTCTTTACTAACGTATTTTTTATTGTACCATCATAACTTTCTCTCATTAATTTCTACTGCTTTTCACTGTGTCACAAACATTCCCTTTTGTTCTCTCCATCTTCTCCCAGTGTGAATGCTTAAAATCTGTTCTGACCCGCGAACTTTGTTCAGCCTGACAAAGGTCACAGACCTGAAAGGTTAACTCTTATTCTCCCCATAGATGCTTCCTGACTTGAATATTTCTAGGATTTTCTGTTTCTGTTTTCCAGCAACTACAGAATTTCAGCTGTTACACCGAAGAGCAGGAATGCCACTTTGTGTGTTCCCTTGCCACTCTGATAATGCTCATATAACCCTTGTATCTTTCAAATTCCATGACCATATTCTTGTGAAATCCAAAGCAAAGTTTCAACCGTATCTCCATCATTCAGTTACCTTCCATCAGATTTAATTTCTTATGCCTAATCCATTAACTGATTTTTCCAATGTGTTGATGAAATTCTTTACTACTTTCCTTGTTACCTGTCACTCCATGTCACCTCCTGGCTTTTAGAGTCACTGTCATGGAAATATTCAGCACGGAAACAGTGGCTTTGGTCCAACTCGTACATGCCGACCAGATATCCTATATAAATTTGTTCCCGTTTGCCAGCATTTGGCCCATATCCCTCTAAACCCTTCCTATTCATATACCCATGAAGATGCTTTTTAAATGTTATTGTACCAGCCTCCACCAATTCCTCTGGCAGTTCATTCCATACACGTACCGCCCTCTGCGTGAAAAAGTTGTCCCTTACATCCCTCCCCTCTCACCTTAAACCTATGCCCTCTAGTTTTGGGCTCCCCCACCCCAGGGAAAAGACCTTGTTTACTTACTCTATCCATGCCCCTCAAGATTTTATAAACCTCTATAACGTCACCCCTCAACCTCGGACGCTCCAGGGAAAACATCCCCAGCCTATTTGGCCTCTCCTTACAGCTCAAACCATCCAGCCCTGGCATTATCCTTGTAAATCTTTTCTGAACACTTTCTAGTTTCACCACATCCTTCCTAAAGGAGGTCGGCCAGAATTGCACACAATACCCCAGAAGTGACCAAACCAATGTCTTGTACAGCCGCAACTCTCAACTCCTATACTTGATGCACTGACCAATAAAGGCAGGCAAACCAAACACCTTCTTCACTATCCTATTTATCTATGATTCCACCTTCAAACAATGAACCTGCACTCCAAGGTCTCTTTGTTCAGCAACACTCCCCAGAACCTTGCCATTAAGTGTATAAGTCCTGCCCTGATTTGACTTTCCAAAATGCAGCACTTTACATTTATCTAAATTAAACTCTCACCTTCCTCCCTGCACTGCCTATACTCAGTCATCAATTTTCTATTGCATTACAAGCCCTCGATTGTCACATGAATCAGACCCTTAGTTAAATTCCATTACTCACCCAAGGAACTTCAAACTTTGTTGGATAACTTTACCTCTGTGACAATGTCTAGTGTGTACCTTACCCATTTTCTGTTTGTATTCCGTCTTCTGATTAACTTTCATCGCAATTTATCCT